GGGACTCAATGGGAGGCAGAGAAGAGATGGGGTTGGCGGGGCCAGTCAGAGGTGGGATTGGCCGGTTCTCCGAACTACTCAAAACTCCCGCTTCTCCAGAACTGGTCAGCACTGGCTGAATATACCACCTCTGTGCCTATATTTCTACTCCCATCTGGAGGAATAGATTCAAGTCAGCCATCCCATTGAGAAGGTCCCAACAGACGCCAGGAGGAGGTTGAGCGGACACCTCAGCTGTCAAGAAACCAACGTAACATCATCATCATCTGGAGCCAAGCTTTAATTGAGAAGGACTTTTATGTCCAGGCAGGAGGAGGAGGAGGAAAGGGAGCTGGACATGTGGTTTTGGAAGACCTACTCCCCAAGATTGCTTGACCTTGCGTGAAGCAGCACTTGGTGTTTCCTCCACACTAACTATTGCACACGTGGGATGAAGGGAATCCAGAACTTGAGAATTCTTGCCCGTTAGGTCTCTCGAGGGGTCCCACAAGCCAGCTCCTTGCGGCACGGCTAACTGAAGAAACCCGAAGGTCAAAGCTCAGCTAGACGACCACCAAACCGGTGGAGAACTTCAAACCGCTGGGACCGTGGTGAGCATGTCTGGCCTAAATCAAGAACTTATGATGTCTACGGGTGTCCTCTTAGTGTTGGATGCTTTCTCCCTGGTGGAGGAGGTAGGAGGGCCCTAACTCTCAAAGGGTTTTCGTCAAAGTCTCTTTAATCTGCATTCCTCCAGGGCTGAGTTGGCAGAAAAAAATAGGCCCGTGTAATTTGTCGCAACCAGATGCTTGAACTCTTATCTACAAGGATGAAATTCGTGCAGAGTTTTACCCTTACAGTTTTATGGTGGATAATTTAAGTTCCCCTTTTCTTCTCCCTCCCATCGGGTAGCAGCTGCTGGGCAGAAGCGCTACCAACTGCTCTTATTATGCTCTGCGCAATGCTGGAGGTGGAGAGCGGTTGGAAAATATTACAAGTCCCCAAAGGTGATTTATTTTATTTATTTTCCCAAGAGGCAACTGGCCTTTCTTGTCTTTTTTTTTTTTTTCCCTTGAAGACTTTTCATCTTCTCATCCAAGAAGCTTCTTTGATTCTGACTAAATGGTGGTGGATGGAAGGATTTGCGGTCCTCGCAGTCATCTGGTCATTGGTAGTCTCTCAGAGAGTCCTCGAGGCCACTTGGTTTACCTGTGCCCTGAGGGTGGAGCTGCTGAAAGGACCATGTTGGAAACAGGAGATGGGTGGTGGTGTACTTCCATCCCCCAGTTGGTTGAGAGAGGGCTAGTTGAACGTAAAGCCTTAGTAAGGTCACATCTAGAACGCCGCAGTTTTTGGTCACGTTATGAAAAAGATGTTGAGATTCTAGAAAGAGTGCAGAGAAGAGCAACCAGGGTGATTAGAGGACTGGAGAATAAATAATATATAAAGGACGGTTGCAGGAATTGGATAGGTCTAGTCTAGCAAAAAGGAGGACTGGAGTGACAGGATAGCAGTCTTCCAGTATTTGAGGGGCTGCCCCCCAAAAGAGAGGACCAATCTTTTCCCCAAAGCACCCAAGGGTAGAACAAGAAGCAACGGATGGAAACTGATCAAGGAGAAAACCAATCTGGAATTAAATTTGCTCACAGGGAAAATAATAATTATCCAGTGGAACAGCTTCCCACCAGAAGTTGTGGGTGTCCATCACTGGAGGTTTTCAAGAAGAGGCTGGACAGCCACCTATCTGAAATGGTATAGGGTCCCCTTGAGCAGGGGGTTGGACTAGAAGACCTCCAAGGTCCCTTCCAACTCTGTTAATCTGCTAATATTAACCTAGGTGGCCTCTTTGACCTCTCTTTTAAACCAGCGGTTTACAGGTTTTCAATACGGTCCTTTTTAAGCAGTTCCCAGAAGGCTCCACACCCCTTTGCGCTATACAGGTGACCCCTCAGAGCACAGATAAACCTCCAAGTGGCCTCAACGACTTTCTGAGCCGCGCAGGGATTCGCTTAACAACAGTGGCAAGAAAGGTTGAAAAACGGGGCAAAACTCACTTAAGCGTCTTCACTTACGGAGCCGCGGTGGCGGCACAGTGTTTAGAATGCACCATTACAGGCCGACTCTGCCGACTGACAGTTCAATCCTGACTGGCTCAAGATTGACTCGGCCTTCCGAGGTCGGTAAAATGAGGACCCAGATTGTTGGGGGCAAGAAGCCGACTTTGTAAACCGCTTTAGAGAGGGCCGTAAAAGTACCGTGAAGCGGCATACAAGTTTCCAAGTTCTATTGCTTAACAGCAGAAATGTTTGGCTCAACTGTAGTCGTAAGTCGAGCACTAACCGTAAACAGCTAGCAGGGCATCGTCAGCTAGAGGTGGGTATTGACCTGGCGCTTACGGTCGTCTTCTCCAATCAATTGCAGGGATGTTCTGGGAGTATATTTCCCAGAATTCCTGGTTATTTTCTGCCCCGTGGCTGGCTGAAGAATTCTGGGAGACGTCCTAGCCAATCAGGAAGAGGCCAGGTTAACTTGATGTTAGGCGTAGCTGGAAAGACAAGCAAAGCTTGGGTAGATTTCCGCAGAAACCATTAACACTAAAACGATTATGGCTCCGACTCAAAATGCCATTGCCCTGGTTGCGTCAGAAAAAAGAAAACACTCGGAGAAACCAAGCAGAAAGGCCAGGAAGGAAGGAAATAACAAAAATTCCAACTCTTTCTCTCCTTCCACGCTGTGAATTTCAGCAGCTCATTATTTTTGTAATGGCGCGTCTGGCCTGAAACCAGCTTCCAAAGCATTGAATTTCAAAATCTCCAAAGCCCGGTCCGTTGTTTTGTAAGGGAGGGCGAGGGATAAAACCCAGCCCTTGTATTAATTCCAAAACCATTCAACGTGCAGCCTTTTTTTTAAAAAAAAAAAAAAAATTAAAAACTTAGAGAAGTTTAATAGACCAATGGAAGAGACCCAACGGAAGCGCTGATGAGATTACCTAGCTGGGGAATGAAACGTCCGCAAGGAAACAAGCTCAAAGCACCAAGACTCACAAAAGGATTCTATCCTGCAGTCCTTGGCGCTCTCTGAGCTTGGTTGTTTCCTCGTGGACGTTTCATGACCCAACTAGGTAACCTCATCAGTGCCAGAAGGGAGTGGGGTTTGAGGAATGGAGGAAGACCGCGAGGTTCTTGGTGCTCTTTTGAGGCTGGCTGTTTTCTTGAGGACGTTTCATGACCCCAACTAGGTAACATCATCAGTGCAAGAATGGAGTGGGGCTTCAGGAGGACTGTGCGGGGTCCTTGGCGCTCTCTGCGCTTGGTTTTCTTGCAGACGTCTCATTACCCAACTAGGTAACATCATCAGGGCTAGAAGACAGTGGAGTTGAAGGAGGAAGATGAAAGGGGCAGGAGGAAGAGAAGAAGAAAGAGAGGGAGGAAGTGATGGTGAAGGAGGAAGGACGGACGACTACGGGATATTGCTCTGAGCTTGCTGTTTTCTTGCAGATGTTTCCTTACCCAATCTGGTTACACCATCAGTGCTAGAATAGTTTTGTGAGGAGGAAATCTGTGGGGGGGTCCTTGGTGCTCTCTGAGCTTGGTTCTTTTGTTGCAGACATTTCCTTACCCGTCTAGGATACATCATCAGTATTAGAAGGGAGCGGGCTTTGCTGTATTCATATAGTGTGTCATGTGCGCCATCTGTATATATATAGGTGAAGTCCGCTATCCTCCAAGGCTACACAACCCACTTAAACTTCCCCAGCCAGGCATGCTGGCTTCCGAGATTAACAGGCAGGCTACTCAACCCTGGGAAGAATGCTTGTTCATCCCTTCCCAGGCCCAGTTGTGCACCGGGTTACACAACTCGGTTGTGTGGTGGCAACCGGAAACCCGGCTGAGTTGCGAAGAAAACAGGAAACGCACCTGGCTTTGAGAAAGCAGCTCCTCCAGAGGAGTGCAGATTGTCCTTTGGAGCCAGGTTTTGGGAGTGGAATAACCAGAGTTGGAAGGGACCGTGGAGGCCATCTAGTCCAACCCGCTGCTCAAGCGGCAGACCTAAACCGTTCCAGACGAACAGCTTATCCTGTCTCTTTCTTTAATAAAAAAAACAAAAACAAAACACCTCAAGTGTTGGGAGCCGCAGGCAAGTTCAGCAACCGACCTTAGCTTCGCAAACACGCAACGCACACCAGGGAGCAAGGAACACAACCGAGCATCGCCTTGGGTCACAACGGAGATATTTTAAGAGGGTCCAAAGAATCCACTCGTAACAAAACCTGCCCGTCCTTTTGACAAACCCGCTTTCTTCTCCCTTCACCCTTATTAAAAAAAAAGTCCACCTGTGGGATTCAAGTCTCTTTGGTAAAGTTTAAGCCCATTTTGGCCCGTCGAGATTTTATTCGTCGATTCTGCAGGATTTGAGAATTCTCTAAAGCTGGTTTTGGGGTGTGTGTGTGTGTGTGTGATCGAGGTATTTCCCTCTCCCACTTCGGGATTAATGACCCCATTATTATTATTATTATTATTATTTTACAGAATCTGCCCTATGCCCAGTTGTGGGTTTTTTTCCTGGTTGCACACCTGGAAGTCCACACCTGTCCGGAATTTCACGGGTACCAATTATTTTTTGGGGGGGGCACTTGAGGACGTGTGGACTTCAACTCCCAGAATTCCCCAGCCAGCATGGCTGGCTGGGGAATTCTGGGAATTGAAGTCCACAGGTCTTAAAAAGTTGCCCGTACAGTATTGCGAATCCCCGCTTTATTCATCCAAAGAGCAACAAACCCCAGCCTGGGACGGATCTTCCGCAACACAACTCTACCACAACACACAATGGGCAGAAGACGATAAAAAAAAGAGGAATTCACACCTCTCTTGTGCTTTTTGACCTCAATGGGCTAGGAGGATTTTGCTGGTGACTTCCTTGCCTTGCCAACATGCCATCCTCTGCCTCCTACCCCCCGCCACCCCCCAAAAAAACCCAATGAGGAAGCTGCAGGGCTGAGCTACCAAGCTTAAGTCAGCCTGCCGTGTTTGGAGAATGGATTTCCTGAGCCTTAAAAAAAAAAGATGAACGGAGCAAAACCACCTTTGTATGGTTCGAAAAATGAGCGAGACGGGCAAAAAATAATAAAAAAAAGGCAACTGACAAGGTAAGGGAAGGAGGAAGGGAGGTTACGGGACGCAGGGTTTCTCGGGAGAAATGCCCGCGAATGTCGGCCGAGGGTCAGGAAGCGACGCGGGGAGGCTGTGGCTGAGACTGTCCAGTGGCTCACAGAGAGTGTCCAGTTTCTCCCAAATCTCGCCCCCCACCGCCTGGGCATCGCTGCCCGGGGCTGCAGGGTGGCTGGCAGTTGGCACGGGCCTCTCCCGATGCCCCTTGGCACCCCGAGGAGCCGAGGGCCACGGGGGACCAGGGTCTGTTGGCATGTTGGGTGATCTCAGGTCACTTTGGGAAGGCTGCTGCGCTACAGACCGGGCCTCGAGTTTTTCCGGCGCAGGCCGCTGGTCATTTTCTTCTCCCGGGAGGGAGGTCCCTCCTGGATGGGGATGACCCCAATGGGGGTTTTCCCCAGCGGACCCCGCTGGCAAAAGGCCCGGCTGTTCTGGGCAAGTGGACATCCCAGAGTCCGGCGGCTTGTCATCGTGGGACTCCGCTGTGTTCTGGTGGCTGACGGGCTCTCCACGCTCCGGCTGGGGTGTCCCTTCTGGTCCAGGGTCGCCTCGCTGGACTTTCTGGGCAGCGGGGACTTGAACCGGCTGGTGGCAGAGAGGACAGGTGTCCTGCACGTAGAACCACTTGCGAAGGCAGCCTTTGTGGAAGAAGTGGCCGCAGGGCATGATCACGGCGAGGGTCATTTCCTGGGGGGGAAAAAAAAGAGAGAGAGGGAGAGAGAGAGAGAGAGAGAGAGGAAAAGTGAGGTGAGGAGGAGAAGTGGATCGAAGCTTGGCAAGGTTGGATGTCGGCCACATCCAAGAATGACAAATAATTCATCTATGGTGAACTTGAGGGGATAAAGGTAGTCCTTGTGTTGCGACCACAATTGGTAGCGGGACTTAAAAATTAATAAGGAAAAGACACAAATAATAACTTAAAAAAAAAATCTTACCAAGACTCAAAATGAAGAATTAGAACATGAACTAGGGATGGAGATAGCAAAAAAAAAAACCAAGTAAAGTATTTAGGAGTTTGGCTCACAGCGAAATGTTCTTCCATAAAGGAAGAGAATTACGCTAAGATAATATTGCAAATACGAAAAGACCTGGATAACTGGGCCAAAATACCGCTCTCGCTATTGGGATGGATAGCAGCTATAAAAATGAGCATACTACCCAAACTTTTATATCTATTTCAAACGGTGATGGTAAAATTGGGAGTTTTTATTTTATGTTTTGGACGATTCGAATAAAGAATAGCCAAATTTATATGGCTAAGGAAAAAAAAAACCCGGATATAAATACAAATATTTCATTTGGAATAAAGATCTTGCTATGGTGAACTTGAGGGGATACAGATAGTCCTCATGTTATGACCACAATTGAGCCCAACATTTCTGTCGCTAAGCGAGACGGTCCTTAAGTCAGTTCCGTCCCATTTTAGGATCCTTCCTTGCCAGAGCCGTTTCATTGAATCCCGGCCATCGTTTAAACGAGTGAAACCATTGTTAAGCGAAATCTGGCTTCACCCCTTGACTGAGTTGTGCCCCATTTTACGACCTTTCTGGCCACCGTCGTTTAACGAATCACTGCGGCGGTTAAGTTAGTCACACGGTTTGTTAAGTGAATCTGGCTTTTCCCGTTGACTTGGTTTGGCAGAAGGTTGCCAAAAGGGGATCGGCATCACACACACACACACACACACACACACACACACACAGAGGGACGCTGTGCCCGTTGTAAGTATGAGTCGGTTGCCGAGCGTCTGAATTTAGATCACGTGACTGTGGGGAAGCTGCAACGGTCGTAAGTATGAAAGAAAGTTATTTGTATTTGTGTGAGTCAATGTCAATTGAAGAGACTGCAGAATCCGTGGAAGATGAACGAACGAGTATTTTTAGTCATCCAGGTTGTGCCAAAAGTGCTTTTCCCCCCCCCTCAAGCGGGCACTGGACTTTCCTGTTTTTTTCTTTGAAGAGGTTTCACTTCTCATCCCAAGAAGCTTCTTCAGCTCTGAATGAATGGCGGGGAATGGAAGGATTTCTACTCCTTGCAGACAGCTGGTCGTTTGCATCCTTTTTAGGGAGCCGTTGAGGCCACTTGGAGGTTTATCTGTGTCCTTGGGGGGGTGGGGGGTCACCTGAGTGGTGCAAATGGGTGTGGAGCCTTCTTGGAACTGCTGAAAGGACGTTGTTGTACGCAGGAGAAAAGAGGATGTAGAGCAGCTGCTAACAGTTTCAACTGACAGCCGTTGAGACCGCTGGTCCTTTGCATCCTTTTAGAGGGACGTTGAGGCCACCTGGAGGTTTGTCTATCTCATCAGGGTCACCTAAGTGGTGCAAATGGGTGTGGAACCTTTTTAACGACACCGTCCTTTCAGCAGTTCCAAGGAGGCTCCACACCCATTTGCACCACTCAGGTGACCCGGAGGACACAGACAAACCTCCAAGTGGCCTCAGCGTCTCTCTAAAAGGATGC